GTGTGAGCCAGACGGCTCGGGYGGGTGTCCCAGCAAAGGGCTGGGGCCGATCATTCAAGCCTCCTTGTTCCCGAGGGTCTTGGGAAACTCGGCATCAAAAAGAGTCACAACAGCCAAGACGGACGGACGGCCCGAACCTGTGACCCCGCGACTCGGGAGGCCAAGGCGGGAGGGTCTCAAGCTCCAGGCCGGCCTGGGCCACAGGGCAAGACCCCATCTCAGAAAGACAGAGGTGGGTAAACAGCTGGTGCAGAAAGAGAGCAGGAGAGGGAGCAGGGCGCTCGCAGGCTCCTCACGGCTTCTCCACGGCCGGTCAGCTGCAGGGGGACGGGGACGGCACCCCAACACGGAGAGGCCAGGCAACACCAGGATCAAGTGACGGCACCCACCCAACCAGGAAGGAGCGGGGGGGCAGCTGCTCTACCGTGGATCTGGACTGTGCCCCAAAGACCACGGGTCAGAGACCTGTCCCCAGTGGGGCACCACTCAGAGAGATCCCTCAGGAAGTGGGGCCTGGCGGGGAGTTTCCTGGGGACCCTGCTGGTTGTGGCCACGAGGATGGGGTTTGCTCTGCTACGAGTCCCAGCCAGGATGTGCGACCTTCTCTCAGGTCGAAAAGCCACGGGTCTGCCCAACCCTGGGCCCAACTGTGAGCCCAAACAAACCTTTCCTCTTTATAAGTTTGTTTATGTCAGGTATTTCTCACAGTAATAGAAAGCCAGCTGACGCAAAACGTCAAATTCTACGTCAAATTCTAACTGAGGAATGGACTCCAGAATAAGTGTCCCTCACAAGTTTCAAGGTCATGAGAGACACACGAGGGCGGAGACTTCTTCCAAATTAAAAAGAAGCTAAAGAGACAAACATGAGCAAAAGCAGCACGTGGCTGCAGCCTGGGTTCTGCGCCAGAGGAGGAAGACGCTGTCGAGGCCAAGGCCAGCAGCAGGTCAGAGGACAGACTGCAACTCAGACAGCAGGTTTTCTTTTTTTTTTTAAGTCGTGGCCATTTGTGAAATTCCCTGTTTCATAACTGTGCTGTGGTTACACAAAAGAATCTTGTTTGGGGGGAAATAAACACTGCAGAAGCTGAGGGGCCAAGGGGCGTGGCGGACGCCACCCCTTTTCAGGTTTTGTGAGTGCGGGGGGCGCTGGGGACGGCGCCCAGGGCCTGTGCGCCCGAGGCAGGCACGTCCCCAGCCCACGCCACCTCTCCTCAATGGTTCAGGATGTGAACCCGCGGAGGGCAGGAGCTCTCATCCAACCCAGGGGCAGGGGTTCAAAACCAGTGGGCACAGGAGGGACGGGGCAGTCCTGGACACGGATGCCATGACCCTGTGCTGGGAAACCATTTCAAAACGAAGGCCTTTTTAAAGTAAAAAAATAAGAAATAAATGGCGGAGAGCTTTCACCAGGGAGCAGGCCTTCTGAGGACCTGGTCGCCCCTGGAGAAGGCCCTGCCGTCCGCTGGGCACACACGGGACAGGGAGGCTCGCAGGCCCCCGAGCGGGGATCCGGGCCCCTGTGCGCTGCCCAGCTCCGGGCTGTAAGTGAACTCGAGACTCGGGGACAGAAAGGCCAGGCGCCCGCCCGGGGCCCGCCCCCTCGCCGCGGGGACGTGCGGCCACTCACAGTTTTGGCCTTGTTGAGGTGCGTCATCTGGATGTAGCCCCGGTCGTGGCGGGAGAGATAGAGGGCGTAGACGGGGAAGGAGGCCCAGAGGTAGAAGCATGGCAGCCACAGCAGGACGGTGTTCTGGAAGCACTTGGGGAAGTCGGGGTTGCTGGTGTGCCACGTGAGGTTCCAGTCCTGCAGGCACAGGGGCACAGGTCAGGGGCACGGGGCGGGGGCACGGGTCAGGGGCACGGGGCGGGGGCAGGGGCACGGGACGGGGGCACGGGGCAGGGGCACGGGACGGGGGCACGGGGCAGGGGCACGGGACGGGGGCACGGGGCAGGGGCACGGGACGGGGGCACGGGGCAGGGGCACGGGACGGGGGCACGGGGCAGGGGCACGGGGCGGGGGCAGGGGCACGGGACGGGGGCACGGGGCAGGGGCACGGGACGGGGGCACGGGGCAGGGGCACGGGGCAGGGGCACGGGGCAGGGGCACGGGGCGGGGGCAGGGGCACGGGGCGGGGGCACGGGGCAGGGGCACGGGACGGGGGCATGGGGCAGGGGCACGGGACGGGGCCACCAGTCAGGGGCACAGGGCGGGGCCACGGGGCAGGGGGGGGGGGCAGGGGGGGGGGGCAGGGGCACGGGGCAGGGTCACGGGGCAGGCGCATGGGGCAGGGGCAGGCGCACCGCCCAGGGTAGCCACCAGGATCCGCCCCTTCAGACCCACAGGGCTCGGCCAGACCAAGACACCAGTCACGGGGACGGGGACCTCTCGCCTCTCCCTACAGGACAGACAAGGTCCCCCAGCCCACGGCCGGTCCCACCGCGGTACAGTGAAGACTGCCGTTTCCAGGGGCCCTGAAGGACCCTTTGGTCATACGGGTCCCCTCGATGTCACTGCCTTGTGAAATGAGGACGTCGTCGTCAGCAGCAGCAGCAGCAGGAACATGGCTCACACCCCAACTGAGCTGGGTATACCAGGCCCCCCAGGTGCTCACACTCATCACCCCCCTCCATCCTAGGAGCTAACGACGCCCCCGGCCCCTTCTGCAGATGCGCAAACGGGCGCCCCGGGTTCGAGGGCGCGCCCCGTATCACAAGGCCGCTGGGCTCCGCGGCTGAATTCGCACCCAGGCGATCGGAGCGGCTCCCTGCCTTCACCATCGGACTCCCCGGCCTCGGGAACAAACTGCTCCCATCACTTTAAAAAACTTTTTTTAAAAAATGAAAAGCTTGTACTTTGCACAAGAGACGTGCCAGACAGATTTCTAAACATGATACGCACAGACACAACTCGCCCGGACGGACCTAGCCAAGAGCTCATGCCACTCGCTGTTTGGCAATGGAGGATGTGAATTTCACTCGAGGCCSGAGCCGTCGGTGAACCAGCTGCACAACTGGGAAACGCTGTCAGCCAGGTCGGGGGTCTCGTTTCCCGCCTCTGCAGGGGGAGGCTGGGCGAAAGGAGAAATCCGAGACCTCGCCCCACAATGGCCACGGAGCCCAGGGACGGTTCCTTGTGACTTTGGACATGATTATTAAAAAACGAGGTCAGCTGCTGGCACCTAAAATCAGACCATCTCCTATAAAAACTTGGATGATTTCTGACACTTTTTTTTTTTTAAATTGGAACATCCGGGCCCGGCGCGGTGGTGCTCGCCTAGCATCGCAGCASCTGGAGAGGCTGAGGCAGGAGGATTGCAAGTTTGAGGCCGGCCTGCCCACCACGGTCACTCAGTGAGGCCAGCAAGGAGCTCAGGGGCCGGGAACCTCGGGCACCAGACAAGCTTTGACACCAGACAGACCCACTGTTCCCACCCGCGTCAGCCCCGGGGACACCCTCAGGCTGGACGGGAGGTTTTCTTAGAAGGAGTGGAGGGGAGGAAGCTGGCCCCGGGGGGCAGGCTGAGCTCGTGGGAGGACACGGTCATCCGTCTGGGGTTTGTGGCCTTTGGCCCTGTTGGGATTCTCTGCGCTGCGGGTAGTACCGCCGCGATGACAATCTCCAGCCGTCCACGCTGTGGATAAATAAACAGCCACCGGAGAGCGAGGGCAGAGGCTTCCGAACGCAGAGCYGGGAACAAACAGGAGGCGCCCTTCCACCGGGCGCCAAGGATAACAGCAACCCGCCGCACCAGGCCCGGCCCCAGGTTTCCAAGCTCTGGTCCGATCGAGCCTCCCGCGGGCCTCCCCTGTCCGAGCTCCCAGACGCCCTCCTGTCCCAGGGAGGACGCTGAGGTGCACAGGGTCAGGGCAGCCTGCTCAGGCTCACTGACCAGGAGGGGACCTGACCCCAGAGAGCCTGCAGCGGGCGTCCCAGCCCTTTTATATTTTATTTAGAGGCAGGTCCCACTGGGTGGCTCAGGGCCTCACTGAGTCACTGAGGCTGGCTCTGAACTCACGATCCTCCTGCCTCAGCCTCCCGAACCACTGGGATGACAGGCGTGCACACGGCGCCCGGCTGCCAATAAGTTCTAAGACTGAAGTGGCAGCTTTTGCTAAGCACCAACTGTATGCAGTGCCGGGTGCAGACGTCAGGGCCTCCCGGAGGAGCCGGCACAGCAACCCAGCAGGCTGGCACGAGCTCYGGCCAGCGCAGGCCTGAGGCCCAGGAAGCACCTGCTGAGCCACCTTCAGGGTCACCCTGGGTGGGCGTCCAGAGCAGCTGCAGAAAGGACACCGATCCCGTTTGGCCACACAGCCTGGGGCACTCGCCCGGCCACGGCCCTGCACAGACAGGACAGGGAGAGGCCGGGCTCCGTGCCCAGCACAGCGAGGTGGGCAGCAGCTCCGAGTGGGAGGTGCCAGGGGCCAGCACACTGTCGGCGAGGCCCCTTGCCCCCGCCGGCCAAGGGACTCTCCTCTCTCCTGGGACTCGGCAGAGCTTCCGACAACACGTGGAAGGGGACACGCCCCGGGAACAGCACCCAGATCCCCTGTCGAGGCACAGAGCCGAGCGGCGGGTGGGCCAGGTCAGGAGTCCCGCAAGCCCAGGGCTCCCCGGGTCCCCGCGCAGAGGTCAGGTGGAGCCCGGCTGCCGCAGGGGGCAGTGTGTCCGGCCCACCTGGACACCAGCCTCCCGCAAGGCCTCTAAGCAGACCCCTCCCTCTGCCAACACCTGTCCCCKTCCCTCCSGCCAGGACCCCTCGGCTCACGCCCTCCAGCTGCTTCCTCTCCTGGGTCACAGAACCCCCGGGTCATGTCCCAGGGACCTGTGAGGGGTCAGGCACAGGCCGGGCACGGGGCTGCACGCGTCTGGGAGTGTGGCCGTCACAGGACAGATGGCATTCGTGCGCTCACTGGCACTGTCCCTGGGGTGGAGGACCCAGAAGTGAATGGCAGGAACAGAGGCCCTGCCCTCTCAGAGGCCACAACCCAAGGAGGGGACACCCTCAGATAAGACAAAGGACACGGGGACTGTGTACACAGAAGGGGCCCAGAGGAGGAGGAGCACGGGMGGGGGATGGTGGCTCAATGAAGGATGGAAGGAAACGGGGGACCAGGCAAGCAGCCACGCAGGGAGGGAAAGGGCTCCTGGCAGAAGAAACAGCACGTGCCAAGGTCCTGAGGCAGGACTGTGTCTGGCATTTTTGAGCAAGAACACAGACACCCACATGTCTCCACGGTACCACGAGAGGAAGGCAGGGAGGAGTCAGGCTGTGAGGGGCGCCCAGGCCACCCCAGGGACTGTCACTCAGGATAATGGGGGTGCCACAGATTCACGTCTGAACCTATCGGTTCACAATTGGGAGCACATTTGTCTCCCAAGGGACACTTGACAATGAAACAGTCTTGGTTGTCACAGCTGGGGGCGGTGGAGCAGGAGCTGTGTCGTTGGTATCTGGTGGACAGAGACCAGGGATGCTCCTAGACAGCCCCAAAGTCACCAGCACCGAGGAGCCTAACACTGTCCACCCAGCCCCCCGCAGCCAGGGAGAGGCTGTCCACTCCTCGCCCTGGGAGGACAGAGCCTCGGCCTCTRTGGAGAGGGAGACAGACGTGGGGCAGAGGCGGCCGGCCAGGGCAGAGCCCGCCGCGGGTGCCCGACAAGTCCACTGCTCCAGTCGCCCCTGCCCACGTCCTTCCGTCCTCCAGCCCCACTAGCCCCTCTCCAGCCAGTGGAGACGCACYGAGCCCCCAGGCCAGCCGCGACCCCCGCGGGCACCTGAGGGCAGGAGGCTGTGCAGGTGCAGGGGTGGAGGACCCGGAGCCCGCGGCCACCCCGGATGGACAGGCCGCCCATGGGAAGCCCGAAGGGGGGCAGGTGGCGGGAGATCAGGCTCCAGGCAGAGAGGAGACCCTAGGCCGAGCGTGGGGGCGGGGGGCCACGGCCCAGGCAGGGAGCAGCCGGGCCTGGTCCAGGTCCACCCGCATCCCGCGACTGGACGTGTAAGTGGGTCGTTTTAAGCCACTTGATCTGTGGAACCCGGAGGAGGTAATGAGGCGTTCGGCTGGAACCGAGGCCCTCACCCGGTGGCACTCCTTCATGCCCCGATGCCCCCCCCCCCCCCCGCCTTGAAATGGACCCGAGCCAGGACCGTGTCCAGGCGAAGCCTCCTGCTGGCCCCTCCCGGGTGGCCCTGGGGAGCCCAGGGCAGACGCCTCACGGGAGTCCAGGGTGTGAACTCACAGAAGGGACCCGGGCCAGGCCACTCAGGCCCACACCTTCGGCCGGGGACACGGCCTGGCCTTCGGATTCTCACGCTGCCTTTACTTCACTTTTCTAATCTGTTAAAAACCGAGACCCGGACCCGCACCTTCGCCGAGGCCTGCAGGGCCAGGACCCGCACCGGCTTCTGTCTCCACAGGGGGTCCCACCCCCCAACTCACACACACCCCGGGGCGGAGCAGAGGGACCTGCAGAGGCTGCTCCGCAGTCGCCATGATTTGAAGTCAAAGGAGACACCGGAAAATAAGGGCGCACCTGGAATCCCAGAGGCTYGGGAGGCTGAGGCAGGAGGACCACAATCTGGAGGCTCAGCAATTCGGTGAGACCCTCTCTAAAAATTTCTAAAACACCAACAGGGCTGGGGATGGGCTCGGAGGTTACGCACCCCTGGGTTCAACCCCTGGTGCCCGGGAACAAAAGAAGGGTCAACCYGGAGTGTCATTCATCAGCACCCTGGGGACACCACCAGCGTCACCACAAAGTGAGAGACGTGCTGCCCAGTTCCCCGGGTGCGACAGGAC